ACTAGAAGTTCCTTGAGGGTAAGAAACGACGTCAGTACTTACTGGCTCACCTCGGAATCCCAGCCCCTGGTACAGGGCTTGGCGCACACTAGCATTTGAAAAATATTTGTCCAGTGAATGAATGGACTTTGAAAAGTATTAAGACATCGAAGTGATTAAACTGATTCTTAGCCAGGAATGCCGCTGTGCCACCCCTTCATCTCCCGGGGGATGCATGCTGACCAAATGGTGAAGGGAGGGCGTTTAGGCAGCGCTGGGAAGCCCATTTCACTCCGGTTTGCTCAGCCAGGGCTGGGGCCACAGGCACCTCTCGCACCCAGCCCAGCTCAGAGCTCTCTGTCGGACAGAGAAAGGCATTGCAGCTCTGCTTCTCGCTTCCCACGAGTTGAAGGTCTGTGGCCCGAGGCCTCACTCCCAGCTGAAGAAACCCAAGGACACATGGCAGGAGCGTGTTCCTGCCTGCTCCCCACCTGCCGTGTGAAAAGGTCACACCTGGCTACGACAAAAGTCATAGGCATGATCCCAGCACAGGCAGTTTTCACGTGGCCCCTTTGTTGCGAAGGTTACCTGGGATATTGAGTAGGCTTGCTCTTTGCTTTAAACTTGTAAACCTGGAGACCCTATGAAGGTCCGGCTGGAAGTCACATCTATTACTCAGCAGCGTCCTTTCAAACTACCCTCCATTCAGAAGGAAATCCACGCTGCCTGGGGCCTGGGTTTAGTGTAAGAGGTGAGCTCTAAAATACAGCAGGGCGGCTGAGAACACAAGATGAGAAAAGCCATCCGGCTGGAAGAGATGCCTAATCGCCCACGGACCTAACCCTGTGGTGCCCCCTTCACACCCAGGCTGACCGTTAATTCACTGCCTAGTTTAGATTTTCTGGTGTTTTACTGTGCACTTTCCTCTTTTGATTCCCAGGGTGACACTACTGGTCTGTCACCCAAGAGCCCCTGTTGTAGCCCTTGTCAGGGCCAACATCCTGCAGTGGCCTTTCTGGAAGCTAGGAGACTTGGGACCAGGCACAGCCTTACTCTACCTAGCAGTGAGCAGCATTTGCCTTATTTCACCTTTCTGCCTCTCCATCTATCCGACTGCAAAATTATAATTTACTTAGCCTCGTGAATCTCCGAGGTCCCTTTCATCTCTAACACCTGACAGTTCTGCATCACTTGAGGTCATCTCAGGTGCATAGATGATGACGGTGATTTAAATCTGCCAGAGACTCTTCCTCCAGTGCTCTTTCTAGACAGGCAAAGTAGAGGTAGCTAGTCTAAGTCGGTCCCAGGACAATGTCCCAAACTCCCATTTTCCCATCCTAGGAGCAACTTTCCATCTGAACCATATTTAGGCCTGGAAAATGGGGGTCAGAGAAGAGGAAGGGGCTAATTACGCCTGGTTCCAATACCTTCAATATACATAATCATATCTTCATGGTCCATATGATTGGAACAAAGCATAAACCCAGAAAATTCTAAGCAACAGCTAATCAAAAGTGGTTCTAATTTAATATCAGTGGACATGGAATCATTTTGGAAAAAATTTCCTTACAAGGTATTATTAAATGCATCAGAATAATTTTAAGCTGCACCTGACTTCCTAAGATAAATCTATTTTCCTGTACAGATAATGTGTCCCTTCAGCACAGCAGGGAAAAACCAACCTGGAATTAACCTTTTGTTGAGATAGTCAAGTGATCATTGTTTGAGGTACAGGGTGAACATTACATATAAATAGTGTCAGGGAAACCACCAGCGTCCTTAACAAAAGCCCACTCTGGTCATCCAAAGTTGGCAATGTGGAAGGGGGGTCTGTCTCCAGCTGTTGTTCCCTGAGGACTTCAGGGAAATGGCAGCAATTAATTATCAATAAATTTCCAAAGGGAATTTCCCTTGGAAGACTAAGAGGTCAGGATGCCCTTCTTCAATACTGTCCTTTCTCTTTCTAACCTTGAAAGGTTGTAGTTTGATTGCATTAGCCTTTCATGGGTTTCCTTGCACACAGTAGGGAGTTTGACTCCTTCATGGGCTGCAAATCATGCCAACATCTTACTTCTCCTTATTTCTGTGCATTATCAAGACATGAAAGGAGACGTTTCAGAAGACACCCAAAGAGGAAGCAACTTGCCGAGAGTCACACACCAAGAAATAGGACCAGAAATCAAGAGCCCTTTGGTCGCCCCTTGTGTGACCTTCCTGGGGTCCCCCTTTTAACCTGCCTCTTGATCCTCGCACTCTCTATGTGCCCACGGCCTCATTACCAGTTCCAATTTACCTTCAGATCATCGGGGATGAAGACTTTGCGAGCTTTCTTAATCATGGGCTGCGGCTTCAGTTCTTCCTCGGAGAACTTGCGTTTGCGAGGGTCAAACATTTCCTGGCCAGGGATGCTGGAGAGGGCGAGATCTGCCGGGTCTGGCTCATAGCCCACCGGGACCTGGATGGTGTCGGGATCGATGGGACTCGGGGTATTGCGGTTTGCTGGCAACAGCTGACCTGGAACAACACAGGAGTTTCAATTCATCAGCACCCCAGGCAGACCCACAGACACAACTTGGTGATGCTCCCAGATGAGTGACAAGTCTTCACACTGCTGACATCTGACCCTAACATTGTTCATATTACTCAGCCTCACCGCGTCGCTGGGAGCACAGCAGGCTGAGCAGGACCTCACTCAGATCGTGCGCAACCAAGACCCACAAACACGTGGTCGCAGACTAAATTAAGAAATGCCTGCATTCCTTCTTTTCTGTCACACACCCATGGAGCACCAGCTATGTGCCAGGCACTGTGCAAGGTGCAATGGGTAGAAATGCATGACTGTTACCTTCAAGGTGTTTCCCAGGAAAGTCAGGGAACCAGACCAATAACTAGCCAGCGAGGATATAGTGACGGTGCTGGGATGAATGTAAACCTCATGTCCTTCCAGAGTGTGGGGAGCAGCACATAACAGAGGAGGTTAGGGGACATTTCCTAGAGATGACACCTGGTGTAGCTGCATCTTGAGACAAACGGTAATTAGCCAAAACAGTTAATCTGGGCATAAACACAAGATAGAAGGTTGCATTTCTGAGGAGCCACATGTAGTCCTGGTGGATGTAGCACTGAGAGCACAAGACGGACAGAGGGGAGGTGTAAGTGCAAGAAATGGGATCGGGAAGTGGGAATATGATGCAAGGCCCCACGATGACGTCAGTGAAGGATTCTGAGCACCGAAGTGAGGAGCAGAGCTGAGGTTTGGAAGGAAGACTTGGGCAGTGTGAGGAATGGACTGAAGGGGGCAGGGCTGGGGGAGGGAGATCAGCTCCCAGGCTGTTGTGATAACCCGAGCGTGCATGACGACTGGCAGTGGGGAGAGCTCAAGAAATATTTAACAAGTCGGTAAGGACACAATGGAGGCGATCTCACTTCCACTTGAGGGTTCCACAAGCCAAACCATGGAAACGCACAAACATCCCCAGGGCAACAGGTTTACTGAGTTTCGTAATGCGACTCACTGGTGAAAGTGAACTTCTGAACAGACCACACTGTTTACGTGGGGAGCTCTGAGCTCTGAGTCTTCACTTCTGGCTTCACCTGAGGTTTTCAATGGCTCCTTTCACGCCCAGAGTACAGGAGCGGACACAGCTCCGCTGTTTGGCCGGGCCCCTCCTGCTCACTGCTGGTGGCTGGGTGGCCTGGGCGCATCCTGCAGGTCCCACTACCACCCCCCCCCCTCCCC